ACACACACACACAACCTGCCCCTCAACACACACACACAACCTGCCCCTCAACACACACACAGCCCTCCTTGTACGCACACTCTCAAACAGCAGAATCGGCCCCTCAGTGATTCATCACCCGGGCTGACAGATTTCCTTTTCTCTCAAATTACACAACGATCGCCGCTGAAAGAACAGAGCTGGAGGAGGCTCGGGGGAGAGAGGAGAGCCGGGAGGAGGGAGTTATTAAAAACTGTGAAAGCATTTATATGAATGTTTGTTTGTGGAAATGTTCAGATTTGGGAGATCACTCGTAACCACTCTCTCTTTCTCTGCTTCCCTGAGTCGCAACTTTAAGCTCATACCTCCGACTGCACATGCTTTATATTAGTTGAATCAGCTAGGAAGAACATGTTCACACACACACACACACAGCATAACGCTCTCATTTCCCACTGACCCTACTTAGTTACATACCTCCACTTCTCCTGACCCTCCAGGCTGACCTCTTCCTCCCTATGGTGACCTGTCCGTTCAACTGTGTCCAAGCTCTCATTAAGCGGATTCAAAATGAGCTTCACGGTGGAGCTGGAGACGTAATCGCAGCTCTCTCTTTTTCCTCACAATGTTTTTTGCGATTCTTCACCCCATGGAGCTACATGCTGCCCTGTAGCTCATAATGTAGTCCGGCTTCTTGTGCTGTGGTTGGGATTTAACCGCATGTTGTCAGTAGAGTTGTTTTTGTACGTGTGTGTGTGTGTGTTATCTGTGTCGGCCTCTATAAGTGTCCTACTGATAAGATCAGCTAAGCTGTGGCTGTGAGGGGTCTACACACACACACACACACACACACACACACAGAGCCTCAGGTCACATAGTGAGACACGATTGGCCGCATGCCCATCTCCCCTAAAAAAAAAAAAAAAACTAAAAGCGGGCCGGTGCTGGCTGAGCTATCAATCCCCCGCTGCGTTACAACATGGTGTGTGACAGGACGGCTGTGGGGCGGCGGGGTAACGAGCTCTGACAGTCTATTGTACATGCACGACCTGACCGCGATGTATTTGCTTGTCCTGCGACAGACTTTCTGTTTGAAGTCTTTCCTGCTCTGTGATTTACAGTCCTGGGCTTCGGGTGAACAGAATGGTTAGGTTACATGTGGATTGGTTGTAATGACCCATTCAAAGCTTTCTCCCAGACCCTGTCCCCCCCATGCAGGTGAACCCGAGGGCCAAGCACTGCCGGCACAGAATGTTCTGGGTGTTTCTCAGGCAGCTGCTCCCTCCTTCTCTTTATCTTTTCGACTTTTTTTCTTTTCCAAGCTGAGTTATTGGAGGTATTGATCTCGTGATTTATTGCTCTACTCATGAAATGTTCTCTTAGCCTTTTGCGGCCTTTTTTCTCAAGAAGGTCAAAGAGTCGTGCATGTTCTCATCATACGTGTGTGTGCGCTATAGTGTTTCTCTCTCTCTCTCTCTCTCTCTCTCTCTCTCTCTCTCTCTCTCTCTGTCTCTGTCTCTGTCTCTCTCTCTCTCTCTCTCTCTCTCTCGTCGTTTACAGCATTCACAGATGTGGCTTTGCAGCGAACACAGTATTTTCCACAGATCCCACCAACAGGCCAGGAACTTAAGTGAAAACATTTGAAGATAATTGTGAGTCGGCGATATGGAAGCTCACCAGATTGATGCCGTTAGTGTTCAAAGCTTCTGATTTTTTTCCGCTATCGGGGAAAGGTCGCGACTGTCCCTGGAGTGTATCTGATGGAGGATGTGGTTATGGTTGGATTATATTCTATCATCCTTTTTATTTATTTATTTTTTTATTTTTTTTCACAACTCTGTTAAAGGGAAAGTAAACTTTCAAGGATTCCACAAACAGTTTTCTGTGCGTCTCAGCGATCAGAGGCGTGTGTCGAGAGACATGTCACCACCTCATTAGGCGTGATACTATTGATCTAACACCGATTCCACCGGGTTAAACTCGCCTGCCCCCCCCCCCCCCCCCAATCCTGTTAGTGGCCAGGCTCAGATGGTGCTGTGTTAGGAAACCGAAAGCCGAGAAAAAATAAACAAGCCTGGCTCCAAAGCTCAAATCTCCCCATCCAATCAGATCAGCCTCCCTCTGGTGTTTTGCTGGAATGTGACTTTTCTTTCTCTCTTTAGCTTTCTGTTTCTCTTCAGGTCGGGTGTACTGTGGATTTTAGCTAAATGTTAATAGTTGAGGTGTTTCTCCTTGTTGCATCATAAATAAAACACAAAGGCACCAACACCAACTTTTCATTATTTAAGGCATTTTTTAAAGTTTACCCTCTTCACAATGAAAACGCCAAAATCAACGAGCACCGTAATTCATTCCTGTATTTTTTTTACACCCCCCTTAACACCCCTGACCCGGTCTCATTTACATGTGTTGCATGCACACGCATGATGCTCTACATAGTGTATCTCAGGCCTCAGATTCCAGAGCAAAGCCAAAGGAGCGTTGCTAAATGTTTCTGTCTGCAGCCGGAGCCTCCAGTCACGAAACGTCCTAACCTCTCTAACCTCTCAGCCAGAGCTCTCACAGCTGCCCAGACACACACACACACACACACACACACTCATACATACTGCACACATGCTGTCATGCTGACACATTACACACACTCCAAAAACAAAGTTGGAAACAGAATGAACTCGGGCAACATTTACCTTTTTAGTTGTGTGTGTTACCAGTAGTGGGGGTGTGTTTCCTTCAGTTATAGTTTCACGTGTGTGTTGTGTCGTGTCTTCACCGAGCTGCAGTGCTCAGGACTCATCTCTGTCTCTTTGTCCCCGTCTTCTGAGCTGCTCTGCCCTCCACTTCTGTCCCGCTGTTGGAAAAATCACAGGAAGTAAAGTCTTTTTCTGAACGAGGACCCTACTTCCCCAAAACGACGGTCTCCTCTCTGTGGACTCAGCTGTCCTGGGGCCCGGGCTCGGGCATGGTTCAATAGCTGGCCACTTCAACAGACTGAGCTCTGACGACCGATGCCTTGAGTTTTTCACAAAGGATGGGGGAGACTCGGAGAGGGAGGGGAAGGAGGATGAGAGGGGAGGAGAAGGGGGGTGTGGGAGTTTGAGATTGCCTTTTTTTCTTTTTTTTCTTCTTCTCTGTTTTGTTTGGAGTGGCCCAGCCTACCTCTGATGTCACTCTTATGGAAAAAAAAAAAAAAAAAAAAAAAAAAAAAAGACAGAGAGAATAACAGAGCGGCCTCATTAAGTTCCTCATCCTCAACAATGAGCGTGTTAGTTTTAATACAGGAGGCGAAGTGAGTTGAGTGAAAGGAAACAAGACCAGCTTGAAGTCTGGGGCACAGGCATGAACCGCTTTGAACCCCTTTTTTTAGCATTACCAACCCACAATCCCCCTCTTTTTTGGGGGGCTTTCTCCTTTCTCCTTAATTTATTAAACCTTCATTTAAGCAGATCAAATCCATTGAGAAAATAGCAATCTGGCCAAGAAGGCAGCAAAGTTAAATGTCAAATGCACGTCGATTTCATACATACAATGGAACAAAGACAAAACATTTCATTAAGTTGTGTAAAAACTAAAGTCCATGCATCAACAAAACGTTAAACGGACAGTTGCATGCAGAAAAAAGGGCATTTTATGTATTTGTGATTAAAACTTTTGTTAAAAACTCTCCAGCAAGATGAGAGTTGAGTCTGGCCTGATAACAACTCCCTTTTCCAGACTGCACTGGTGGCACCTTCAGCAGAGGGAAGAGCCGATTGTAATGCTGCTGAGGCTTCTGAGCAGCTTCCTGTTGAGCTTCAGCTGGGTATGTGAGATCAGATATGAAGGAGAAGGGGGAAAAAGGACGGCCCACTTTGTGAGCAAAATCCTCACTCTGGGTGAAGTCTGAGCTCATCTGGTCCTTATCGTCGCTGTCGTTTACTTAAATGTGTTTGAGTTCAGCAGATAGCAGGTGACGTTTTCTCCATGATTTGTGAGCATATTTCCTCTTTCTTACCCGTAGCTTTTTATTCTTTTAATTCAAGTTTTGCCACATGTAAACACACACAAAGTGTCCGTGTACTCTAAACCACAGGTCCTCTAAGTGTGTGTGTGTGTGTGTGTGTGTTCCAGGTATGGATTTGTGCATGACTAACTGCTGTCATCCCCGACATGCTCTCAAAAGAGCAGCTACAGCGGTTAAGCCTTCCGGATCCCTCTCTTCTTCCTCCTCCTCTTCCTCCCCATCTCTCACTTCCCGTCGTACAGCCAACTGCTTCTCCCGCTCACAGCCTCTCCGTTTCTGATTCCAGTCAGGTGTGTGTGTGTGTGTGTGTGTGTGTGTGTGTGTGTGTGTGTGTGTG